AAAATTGATTGTATCATTCTCTGTGTATTGTATACTGCCTCCCGATTTGTTAAAATAAACAAATACATTATGTAATTTTAAAAAGTCCAATGTCTTGATCGAACTGTGGTGAATTCATGTGAATTACACTCCTGTTAATTATTTCTACCTAAAAATGTCTACCTACTTCTAGTTAATTCAAGTCAAAGGAAAACTTTGCATTACATTATTTTACATTGATTTCGTGTTAAATAAATCGTCCGTTACCACCACATGAAACATATGACTCCTTTTATTTATGGTATAATATTTGTACGTACTTTTAAATTTGAATTGAAAACGCCCTCCTGTGGTAAAATGTATTAATTACACCACTGAAACATTTTTTCTACAGCAGTAACTCTAGAGGAAAACTAGCTTGATTAAGAATTATTCTTATAAAGCCCCATTGATTCAGACGTTTTAATAACAGAAAAAAATATAAGCGCAACAGAAGCGAGAACATTTTAATGTTATTTTGTGTTGAATGTAACAAAATATGGACTTTAATCCACGATGAACATAATAAACCTTTGAACATTTTGAACACAAAAAGCTAAGCACTAAAACTGATTGAGCCATCTCTATCATCTGGTTGAGGTGTATTATGCCAAAAAATCCACTCGATTTCACAGCGTCAATCAACAGCACTTGTCACAACACTTCTTCTAACATGGATGTCTAACACTTCTTCTAAATCTAACATGAAACAAATAAATCACCCCAGCCATGTGAACTGTTTTTGGTGAAATTTTGCAAGCTAAGCATATTACATATTCCACTGTAAGCCTTAACTTTACAAAATGATGTTACTTGGTGCTATGAAAAAACTTTAGGATATTTTTAATCATTTTTCAAAAACATGCTCAACCAAATGGTTAATTTGGCACATAACGGTTAACCATCACCCTCCTTTTTGAGAATGGACATTACAATGCACTATTAAAACTTGGTTGTAATTCAAGTATGCTTTGGAATAAAGGCCTAAGTTTAGTCTTGTTTTAAAGAAAACACTCAGCAGATTATTGCTGAAGTAAAAACTCTTCAAAAAATAAAAGCATGTAAAGGTTATGGAAGTTTTAAATGTACATTAAATCAAATATACTTTACTAAATATTTTTTTCTTTTATATAAAATATATATTTTACAAAATATTTTTTCCTATAAAATCAAAGCCATATATCTAACAAAGTTGTGATCCAAATTTGAAGTTGATATCACAAAAATTGAAGTTCTCATGAGATTTTGTTTAGGCGTAATACCAAAAATGACATAAATTCCATTGAATTTAATTGTATGCATTCTGCTGTAGCAAATTAATATATTTCTGTCCAAATATCACTTCTGTTACAAAATATGGAACCTTGAGACTCAGACCTTTCTGATAATGTGTTTTGTCAAGATTAGAAAAGGTTTTGATCATAATTTGAAAAAGTATGGCAAAGTATTGAATTCCAGTACCATTTATTACCATTAAAAGGTTTGTTTTTACTTACAATTACTTTTTGCAACACTTTTTCATTAAAAAAAAAAAACACCCTCAATGACATCATCATCATAAACCGACAGTCTGTAGACTGGTGGTTGATCTAGAATACACATTTTATGATAAAAAATTCTTCCATGTAGTTCTGTTCACAACCTTTGGCGAACGGTCCTCTCACTTTAGAAATCCTGACAACATCGCTGACTTTGAAATTAAATACAGGCTTCTCTGTCTGTATCACCATACAAGTTTTGAAACACTTGAACCTCATTTGTGTTTTATGGCACAAATGGCTGCCGTCGCATCATCCAAGGGGATTCAGCATACTGGTGGTGGTTGAGGAGATTACCCTCTCTATGTAAAACGCTTTGAGTGCCGACAAAATCGCTATATAAATGTAATGAATTATTATTATTTACTCTGTCTGTAACGGTCACCAGCTGGAGTGCCCTTTTGAGCCAGCAGAGGGCACTCCAGATAAGACTATTATCACTCACAAACTACAGTTCCCAGAACTCACTGCCCGGACTCATCATCACTGATCACATTCACCTGTACCTCATTCACTGATTGCATTCACCAAAAATCATAAACATGGTCTTGTTAGATTCAGGGCGTCATGCCGAATCGACTGATATCCAATTTTCCCAGTTCGGCCATTTTGAATTATGTGATAAAATGCTGTATTTTTGAACGCATGAACGTATTGTTACGAAACTCGGTATGGGTCATCAGTACGATGTCCTGAAGGAGCCTGAGAAGTTTCGAAACAGCGCCATCTAGTGGTAAAATAAAATTTTCAAATGCTTTTAACTCTGGCTGTAGTTTACTTATTTTGCGCTATAACATAACATGCTATACTTAACGAATGCATTGGTGTAACATTACGAAACTCAGTTTGTGCCATCAGCACCATCCCCTGAAGGTACTCAGAAGATCAAGACAGCACCACCTTTTGGTCAAAGTTATAACAAAATTTCTAATAATGCTTATAACTTTTTAATAAATCTGCGTATTTTAATGCGACTGGTCTGAAGGTTGTAAAAGGTCGATTTTGTAACTACGCCACCTATTGGTCGAAAGTGATAATCCATTTAATCACATTTTTAGTTAATTGTATGTGATTTTTCAGCCATTTTGCCTAAATTCATCTTTAAATGTCTTCAATTGCTATTTGCTGCAGTTGGTCTGACACATGTTGGCATGTTTTGTCGTCTGATTGTGCTTGGCCCCGGTAATTGCTCCTTGCAGCTATATTTAAAGTTTAACTTGCAATCCGACAATCTTGCTCACCAAAAAGCAGGGCCGGCGCGTTAAAAGAACTAAGCGGCTCCCAATCTATTTTCACTTTGTTATTACTATCATTTAGTATAACAACCAACTTTCCATTTAAACTGAGACTTACAGTGGTAACTTCCGTCTGAAGACTGATCTCAGTTTGACCACCAGCTGTCCCGAGGAGAAACATGAGGCGAATATTTGCCTCATAACCTTCATAAACCTGTTTAATGAGAACTGAGAGATTGTAGTTAAGCACAATGAATGAACAGTTATAACTTAACTCAAGGAATTCCACCTTAAATATACTTGCATTTACTGAACCTCTAAGTTCAATCAAGGAGGATTTCAGAATAAATGAACATTATGTAAACTGGAGGGAGTTTGTCAGCTGGCCAATCTGGAGGATTTATGAGATACTGGATAACTTGTAGAGCGCATTATCAACACAAGGAAGACACAGGTGCAATACAATCTTTTTTATTAACAAAACAAGATTTTTTGTTCTTAAATGAATCAGCTATACAAAATATAAAATGTAAGTTTTTAAAAATAATTACATACTAATAATATACACTAACATCATCTATTTGATAGTTTAGACTTACACAAAGCATAATGTATAATTTGCTTGTCTTTTGCGAGCCGCTTCGGGAGGCACATACACACTCGCACACACACACAAGAGCCACCTTGAAGTTGAAAACAGCATCTCTCGCCGGTATTAGTTTCAACTATCACAGATTGAGCTGATTCTGACGTGAAGTTTGTGTTTTAGGAAGGAAGGAAAGCTCTCTGCTGTGAAGAAAAGGAAGCTGCGCTAGATGGAACGTGGATAGTTAAAGTTTTACCTCAAATATCTTCTTTTTATAATCCTTGGAAGCCAGAATCAAAAATAAAATTTGATTAATATCACAGTCCTAAAGTGTAAACAGACTAAATATTTGTTTAGGGACTCACAATAGTCATATTAGATGCATAAAGAAATTGTGTAGCACACAACAATGTCATATCACTTGAAACGTTGGAGTGGCAAATTTGGCAATGACAGTTATGATTAGTAATATTTTGATTGCTTCAATATAGATGAGTTAAATTCCAATATCATCATGATTGAGCCCTTATACTAAAGACTTCTTTATTCTTGCTTCATCTCAGCTCTGACTAGGATCTTCTCAATCCATTTCACCTGTAAATAAAATAAAATAATTATTTGTAAGAGTACAACACCAACAATAATCATTCAATATCACTTAAGTGTAGACGTATATTTCTAATAATGCTGTTTACATTACATAAAGAGCTAGTATGATAAACTTTAAAGCAGTTTAAATTTGCCATTAAATACATGCATTTCTGTATTATCACTTTGAATTCATAAGATGTAGGTTTTAAATGGTCTCGCCAAATCTCACCAAAATCCCTGTTCATTTTAAAGATATAAAACTGATGATGTCAGTTTATGTTTGAATATAGAATGTAAATTTTAGATTAAGTTGTACAGACATCAGATCCTCACACATTTCTTAGAGTTTGTAAAGTAAAGAAAGCCTAAAGCAATGTGATGTGATGCTTGTCAAAGTAAAAACACACAAGAGACGGAGACATTGATCATGTGAGGCTGGACGGCTGTGAGCTGAAGCTGGAATCTGCTCTGATTATTCCTGCGTTCTACAATCTCTGTACAACTATCAGTCTAATTTTGTTATAACAAATTCTAATGATTTTCTACTGATGCAATTCATAAAGCTTGTTCAATAAAGTTGTTTATTCTTTAGTTTTTCCTCCAGAAACCACTAAAGTACAAGCCCCGCCCCCATCTGATTCAAGAGATTTCATTGGTCAAGCCAAGTCACCTTCATTTATACAGCGCTTTTTACCATAGAGATTTTACAAAAGCAGCTTTGCAGTCATAATAAGAAATTAAAGCAACATTTAAACAAGCAGTTCAAGAAGAAAGCCATTGTCCAGTTTAAGTAAGTTCAGGGGTGATTAATTTCCATTGTAAAAATTATTTATAGGGCCATTTACACGACACAGTTTTAACAGAAAACTTTGAATCAATTCTGGTCATCCATTTACACGACACAAGAAACCTGAGACCCGAGAACGCAAACTTTGAAACAGGTTTCAAAGCGCAAGTTTTTGAAAAAGATATCATTATCTCTGTGTAAACTTCAAAAACATGAAAACGGTGATGTCATGTTTAGTCTAGGTATGTGCATATGAATGTGTGTTTTTTACGAAGTGACATCACCAACTACTTGTCTGTCTTACGTTTTTTTCTGAAGTCTGATCTTTCTTGGCAGGAGACTGTGATTGGCCAATGATGTTGAATTAGCTGTGGGCTGGGCTTGTACTTTACTGGTTTCCAATCTATTTAAATTTTGCCCACATTGTTTCAATAAAACTTAATGATATTTTCCTTGCACAAATGTTGAAAGACTGTCAGAGATAATGAAAGTATCTTTATCATCACTGATGTTTACTCACCTGTACAGTTTGAGTCTCGTAACACGTCTCTGAGCTGCTTTGAGTCTCTGATCTTATTGTCGCTCAGATCAAGCTCTTTTAAAAACTGCAGTGCATTTGAGTTCGTCAAAGACTGAGTTAAAGCAGAAACATCTGTAATGCCACAGCACTGTAGGCTAGAACGAGACAAACAGACAAAGATCATCTTACTTTCACCAGATCACAAAACACAACTAAGGTGAATTATTTTCTACAAATACACTGTAAACAGTCTTTTCAGGAGAGACTGAGAATAAACGTATTGAACACTTTGTTGAAGTGTTTGTTAAAGAGATTCTCCTCACAAGGTTACAGTTGGTTTATAGATGATGTTATGGTTTATTGTTTATAAAGTTTCTCTCATCAACACCTATCGTTTTGCTTCAGAAGACTTTAATTTATCAACTGGGGTGGAATGGATAACCGCTGTGTTTGCTTTGTGTGTTTTCTGAAGAATCATCTTTGAGCTCCAGTACACTTGTATAAACTCATAGAGACAGATTATTTATCTAAAAATCATGGACTTCATCTGAAGAAAGTCATATAAAGCTGAAATGGCATAAGGGTGTAAATGATAACATTTTCAGTTTTGGGTTGAGTATCTCTTTATCGCTACACTACACTACACTTTTGGTAAAAATTAAAGGGAACCCCGACTAGTGAGGCATGTTGGCCTTATAAGATTAACATGGACGTCGGCTATAAAAAGGTGATACAAAAACACTCCAAATGTTTTTGATTTTAATAAAAATAGTCGAAAATCCATTCACTGGTAGGCCGCCATAGTTATTTACATCTCAATGCATTCTGGGTAGTGACGTGTAAAGGTTGTTGCTGGCCCAGTTTTGACAGTAGCGAGATGAACACATCTGCCGTTCAGCCTTTTCAGTTTGAACCCGAGCGCACAGTAGGCTTAAATCAAGATAATAAATGTGGAAAATGACAGGCATACTCAATAGTTACATGAAAATTAAGATTATCAGAGAGTCGAAGAAGCGAGAGTGGGGCAAAATAGATGGTGTCTGCGGCAGTGGCCAATGCCAAGCGAGAACGGGAGCGTTTGCTGTAAAGAGCTCCACTTTTTGTCAGCAGCTGTCCAGGGTAGGCTGTATAGATCAGACGATCGTACTATCAGTATAAATAATTTAATAAGTCATCTACCGCCATCGTGTGCTTCCCTAAGCAGTCACTCACTGTTGAACGCATAGAAATAGCTGCTCTCGGACCTTGTTCAAAATCCTGCCGCGCCACAGAGCACCATTAGGTTACATAGTTTTATATTAAATTTAAATTATTTGTCTCAAATCGTTATTATGTATTTACTGAGTCCACCCTGCGCAGCAAATCAACCAAAGAAATCAACCAAAGAAATCCTTAGTCGACCAAAGTCGTGTCCTGCCCAACGATTAGGCTAGTCGACCTAAAAAAATTAAAAATTAAAAAAGACGGGATGATTTGATTGAACACATTTTTTAACAATTGTCATAGAGCATTTATAAAATAAAAACGAAAAAACATCAAAAATACATAAAACTATAATAATAATAGAATTCTTTGCATATTGAGAGATTTTTTAACTGCAAAGTGAGGAGCTCTGTATAGTAACAATCGCGCACCTGACCACTGCTACACGCTACAAAAAATTGCTATCTGCCACATAATGAAAAATCCTAACAAAAGCTCTCGTTATACAGGCTGTATATTCTTCTTTACTTTCAAAGCTATGGGTTAACTTTTGTCCAGCCGATCTATGCGTTTTAAATCAAACGCACACAAAAACAAAAGCCCAAAAAACAATCCTAATAATAATTAGCTGTATTGTAGGACCGCATATAGGTTAATTTTCGTTTTGTTATATTATTTAGGCTATTTTCGATTGCGTAAAGTGTACAAATAAAAACAAAAACATATCAAGAAAACACAATCTATTGAGTCAGCATGATAAAGATGACGTGCTCTTTTTTCCCAACTGCGTCCACGCTGCATCGAGATAAAAACAGGAGAGCGGGGTTGGTTGACACACTTTTCACTCTCTGTCATATTTCTCAGCCATGCTATATGTTAAAATAGTCTAACCAGTAACAACTGAAAGGTTAAGATCTCAGCTACTCAACAGATATATTTAATGTTAATAAATTATTCCTAAAAATGTCTTATTCATCATTAAAGTGATGTTGTGCACCTGTGCCAACCAGCCCCACTATGGGGGTTAGTTGGCACATGCAATGGGGTTGGTTGGCACAGATGCAATAGTTACAAAGAATGAGGTGACAAATATAAAAAGAACTTGACCATTTAATTCAAACCAGATGCAGAATAACATTCAACAGCATTTCTGCCGATTTTTAACCAAACCAAAAACAAATACAGTTTGTAAAGTATACGGGTGCTGGTTGTATAATTAGAATATCATCAAAAAGTTTATTTATTTCAGTAATTCCATTCAAAAAATTACATTTGAATATTATATTCATTCATTACACACAGACTGATATATTTCAAGTGTTCATTCCTTTTAATTTTGATGATTATAACGGACAACTAATGAAACCCCCAAAATCAGTATCTCAGAAAAATAGAATATTGTGAAAAGGTTCAATATTGAAGACACCTGGTGCCACTCTAATCAGCAAATTAACTCAAAACACCTGCAAAGGCCTCTAAATGGTCTCTCTCAGTCTAGTTCTGTAGCCTACACCAGACCCAACAATGCAGAAGAGCTGAAGGCCACTAGAGCAACCGGGGCTCTCATAACACCTGTGCAGTGCCACAGACTGATTGACTCCACGCCACATTGCTGCAGTAATTCAGGCAAAAGGAGCCCCAACTAAGTATTGAGTGCTGTACATGCTGAACCTTTTCATGTTGATACTTTTCAGTTGGCCAACATTTCTAAATATCTTCTTTTTTTTTTTTTGTATTGGTCTCAATAATATTCTAATTTTCTGGGATACTGAATTTGGGATTTTCATGAGTTGTCAGTTTTAATCATCACAATTAAAGGAAATAAAAATTGAAATATATCAGTCTATGTGTAATGAATGAATATAATATCCAAGTTTCACTTTTTGAATGGAATTACTGAAATAAATCAACTTTTTGATGATATTATATGACCATTTATATTTATATACCATTATTATATTTATGACCATTTTATTTATATGTATATATGTTATGTTTTAACATATTTAAAATGCATAAATTAATACATTTATAACCAATTGGCTATAATGACACATGTGCCAACCAACCCCCAAATCAGTGTGTCAACCAACCCCACCCATATTAGGACACACCTCTTTACTGAAATTATGTTAGCCACCTAGCATCACTCATCAGAGACTTTTAAATTTCATATCAAAATATAGCTGATCCTATCTATATCAACTGGAATCCTTACATTTTATATTATCTCTATCCATAGTTCTAAAATGTATTTAGTGGGGAGAAGGGTTTTTTTTGTTTTAACACAGTAAAATAGAAAAGTTATCCTCACCTGAACAGTTAGTGAACGTTCAATGATTTTAGTAAATGGGTGTGTTCAGGTCAAGAGGGCAGTCATTTTAATGTCAGATTTTTGTGGCAGCACCCTCTGGTGTACTAGAATTGAAGGTAACACTTTAGAATACGGTTCCTTCGTTAATGAATAACTACACAAGAACTAATGAGTAACACAATATTAACAATCTAGTAACTATTATTAACTAACAAGAAACTCTGATTAACAAACTAGTAAGTAATAGCGCACAGACGAAAGTGGTAGTTCACAATTAAGTAATCAATAACTACTATTTTTTTAATACTTCACAGAGAACTACTGAAAAAGTTTATTAACAATCTAGTAAATACTATTAACTAAAATAAACTCTTATTAACGAATTAGTAAGTAATAGCTCACAGATGAAAGTGTTACTAGATACTTCTGTGGGAATTACTAATTATTGGGATCCGTATTATAAAGTGAAGATCATTGGAACTAACTAGTAATTACTCGAGTGTTACTACATGATCTAGTCATGATTTGTGCAAATGTTTGAGATTTTTGGTGAACTTTAGTATACTTTTAGAAAATGTCTTTAGTAACAGTTGAGCAGCGCAGACAGCCACAGGTGCGAACCGAGTGTTTATGTGTGTGCGCTAAACTGTGGCGCTGTTACAAAATAGCCCAAATTAAAGTATTTAAAGTTGGGGATAAAACATAGGCTAATTATATTTAGAATACAGTAATATATACCTGCTTATAAAGGAATAAATATCAAGGAGTAAATCATTGAAAATTTCTTTCTATAAGTAAAAAAAAAAATGCAACAATAAGAATGTCAGTCGACCAAGACTGATTAGTCGATTAAACGGCTAAAGTTGACAGCAATATACATTTAAGATTACATTTATTTACAGAAATCAGCTGGTTGAATGAAAATGGCTGATGTTACCGGATTTTCAGGTGATGATATTCTCAATTCATTCAGTTAACTAACTCATCTAGCTAGCCGGTACGTTGGAAAAAACAATAAACAAAGCAGCTACAGCGGCTAGGCTCAACCGACTGCAACCATTACACGTCACTACCCAGAATGCATTGAGACGTAAATAACTATGGCGGCCTACCAGTGAATGGATTTTCTACTGTTTTTTATAAAATCAAAAACATTTGGAGTGTTTTTGTATCACCTTTTTATATCTGACGCCCACGTTAATCTTATAAGGCCAACATGCCTCACTAGTCGGGGTTCCCTTTAAAACTCACTACTGGAGTTACTTTTCTCTGTGTAAGTGTGTATGATGCAGGTCATGTCCAATGAAATCCACACAAACAGCTCTAACATACAGTTCAATATTACAGGTTTATCAAAGTGTATAAGGGTTATTTTGTAAATTAATAATAAAAAAATGCATAGTGTAGCTTTAAAGATGTTGATTGTTTTAGTCGTTTTGATCTCAGGCACAAAGCACAACCAGGCCTGGATATATGGGGTTTGAGCTTTTGTTGATCTCTAAACTAGACAGAGCACTTCCAGCACTTCTAAACAGATGGGGAGAGTTTAGAAATAGACGAAATTGCTACAGATGTTACTATTGTAGTGTGTGTGTGTGTGTGTGTGTGTGTGTGTGCGTGCGTGCGTGCGTGCGTGCGTGCGTGCGTGCGTGTGTGTGTGTGTGTTATTAGATTCCACAGATCTGCAAAAGGAAAGAGTCGAATAACAGATGTGGGTCTCATAAACATGTGATTCTGAACTACAGGAATATTAATATTAAACAAAATATGAAATCCAAAATGTGGTTTGTCCATAAGAGAAGTTTGAGAACCACTGTTGTGAATGTTACTGACCTCAATCTCTCCAGTTTACAGTGTGAATCCTTTAGTACGTCACATAAGTGATTCACTCCTGAGTCTCCTAGTTTATTCCAGCTCAGGTACAGATCTCTCAGGTGTGATGGGTTTGATTTCAGAGCTGAAGTCAGGATGAGACTCTGTTCCTCTGTCATACTGCAACTCCTCAGACTGAACACAGAAAGAGAAAAGACTGAAATGCTTCATCAGGCACTTAGTTTATTCCCCATACTCTGTTTTTAAGGCTGTCACACTAGTTCTGTGTGCTGGAAGATGTTGATTCTCCACTTTCATTTTTCTTCTATTTCTTTTATGTCTCTTTTCTTATGATTCTTTATCACAGCAGGAGATTTCTTTTCAGCATTTACACAATCAGTACAATCTTCAAATTGAACACAATAGACCTTAGTCAGGTTAGATGATATATTTGATGTGGATGAAAATGAGGCAGTTAGAAAAAAAATGAATATATAGCAGAGTACTAAGATTATTACTAGTTAAAAGACATTTAAAATAAAGTGTAACAGAAGGTGTCGAGCTATAAACACTATTACTTGAGTCCTGTTGTCTTAAAATAAACTGTAAACTGTAATATCACAGTGACTGCTGTACAGTATAATGCTACTTACAGTAGTTTCTCCAGTTTGCACTGTGGGTTCATCAGTAGATCACTGAGGTTCTTCACTCCTGAGTCTCCTAGTTTATTCTCACTCAGGTACAGATGTCTCAGGTGTGATGGGTTTGATTTCAGAGCTGAAGTCACAGCAGAACAACCTTCATCCGTCAGTTTACAGCGGCTTAAGCTACATTTGGAGAAATGAGAAAAACAATATCTTCATTTTGCAAAGTTACAGCATCTTCATAACAAATTAAGGAAAAATCCCAAACTGATTTTCTGCGCCCTTCAATGGCCGAGGAGACACGATCTGTAGGGACAGGGATCTGCAGGGATCTGTGGTTTTATTTGTGATATATAGGCCTATAACACACATTTTCATCTTGAATTTCATATGAAGTTTAAATAACTTAACAGGTAAGACATGTTTTTAACAGTAGATGTGAGGTAAATGTGACTATACCCGCGGTGTCCAAAGACAGGTTTCAGTGAGTCAAATTTAAGACCTTTAAGACATTTTAAGACTGTAGTGAACAGGACAGCGAGGGGCGTGAGAGAGCGGCGCGAGGCCGGTGGTGTGATTGTTAATGAGCCGAACCTGTGAGCACACCGGTCTCGCATCTCTCACAGACGAGCGGAAGAATAAAGGGGAGAAACGACGTGGATGATCGAGAGATAAACAGACCTGCTTTTGTTTCTATTTTGTTGTATTTTATTTCGGTAGCCCGCAGTCGTCCACGAGAGGCTGCTGGCAGGCAGGCTATTTTGTTTGTTTATTTCAGTTGAATAAAGTTTTATTTGATTGTCCTCCGGTTCTGCCTCCTTCTTCCTTAAACCTTGCTACACTGGTGCCGACATAGTAGATATCATATAGAGACTAGATGCCCTATTGGCCGCTGGGCACTGAGAAATCCGGCCGCCATCTTGAACGGGTCGTATTCCTATGTATAGCAGCAGTAGATGACAGAGCACTGTGCAGCATATTCCTGCTCAAATCGGCAGACTATCGCTCGGGAATTACTTTTCACAAGTAAGATTTAAGATTTAACATTACTGTACTATTGGCTGTATTTTGTGAATAAAATATCCCATGTGTCCTGTATCATAGCTGCATGTATGACCTTTGCAGCAAAAAACCCAGCGTGAAAATCAGTTTGGTATTCAGTGAGATATGATTCATTTAATGCGCTGACAGCTCATATCACCTGCCAAACAGATTACACTGAGCCGAGCGGATGACCGGTTTAAGATGGCGGCCCCACGGATTGTTTGTGCCAATAGGCAGTAGCGGTCAATAGGGCGTCTATCTATATGATGTCATGCCGAAACCCAGGAAGGAGGAGGCAGAACCGGAGGACAATCAAATAAAACTTTATTTAAATGAAATAAACAAACAAAACACCATAAATATTGAAATTTAAGACATACCAAATGAACTTTGCATTACCAAAAAACATATTCAAATCAAAGAAATTCTGAAAAAAATATTTTATTTAAATGAAATCAGGCTTCAGAAAAATGATTACAGTTATCACAGAATTATGTTCAAAAAGTACTAACACTACACAGTAAAATCAATTCAACAAGTTTTATGTTGAAATCCAGCAAATAACAAAAACGAAATTGCTAATGAAATTAGCATCAATATGCAGTTTTTGTTTACATAAACATTAAAATAATACCATTAAAAATGATGGCCAGATTTTAAAAGAGTATCTTGCAAAATGTTATCTACTAACATGTACAAGTTCAAATTAAGTTTTGACAAAAAAGGCTTTATAAAAAGATAAACCTCACATATCATTTAAATCATTTTTTATAAGAATGAGACAAAAATGACAAATTACTGACATTAACCATGCACATTAGTTTATCTTTTATTTTATCTCTGCGTCTGTCTTTGCTATGCAACCATTCACTGACAAAGAAGTTTTAGTAGCTAATGGATTTCAACTACTGAAAAACGCTTGCTGTAGCTCTGCTACAAGATTGATTAACGGAGAAGAGAAAATCACCCGCAGTGTTTGTGTGCACACATAGACAGTGAAAGAAATGGACACAGCGACCCCATAGACTTCAACAGAGAAAAGTGAAGCCCATTAGAAGCATCTCTTCCTGATGGCTGAGCGACGGCTCACACTGAGCTGGACGACGGAGATGTGACGTGAGCGACCGGTCTGACCTTCTAGTAGCTGTGCCAAAACAAATCTGAACTGAAATCTGAAACAAATCTGTTGTTGAAATATTTCATCTCGTTGCTTTTATGAACTCTCTATCTTTGGGCTTCTGCCTTGACTTTATGCCTCCATGTCCCCCAGATTGCCTCATAGACAGTAAAAGATTGCTTGAGCTTCTCCTCCTGTCTATACGGTAATTTCTCTATTGTGTGATAGAGACTCGCTTGTTATGACACAATCCTTAGCCTATTTTTACAAAAACGGCTTCTACGGGGCCATAACGTAAGATACAAGGTAATGGAGCCTTTTATACATTGTTGTGTTTCTTTAGAAATAAATAATGGACAAATGAAGTCTTTAAACTCCTCAGATGTAAAGTTATTCACTGTCAAAGTGACGCCAAAATGAATGGGAGTCAATGGGATGCTAACAGCAGAAGTTCTGCTACAATGGCGGCTCCCGCGAGGCTTCAACTTCCGGCTGATGGATTACACACTTGAGTGCACCCCATACTTCATGTTGACTGAGCTTTTAATGTTGTAACAGAAAGGGTGAAGCTGATTGGTTGGTTCTTGTCACATGACCTGCAGTGCGTTTGCGGCATTCTGAAAGTATATATTTTCTCATCTTGCTGCGCCTGAAAAACGAGTGTGTCGCTTCAATTATGAGCGCGCTAGCCGTGCGCCTACATTAGAACTAACTTGAGCGCGATATGGGAACGCCCCCTCGGTGAGCTTCCTCCAATCAGACACGAGCTCCTGGCCGCTCGCGAGTGACGTGTTGAAGACCCCGGCTCTACAGCTCCGCTCTGTACGACTCAATGCTTTTTTGCTACTTTGTAATAATTTTCTGGGGCCAGCACTTCTGGAAATGAATGAGGGTAAAAGACCTGACTTAATTAATTCTTTTTAGACCTGACTTAATTAAATTTATTGTTTAAAGCCTTAAATTTAAAATTCATAATTTTATACTTTTTAAGACCCCGCAGGAACCCTGCAAAGAAGAGAGGGCAAGTTTTTATACATTTGAGAGAAGAGAAAACACCCATCACTCATAAAGCATATTTTAAAAGCTTCATTATAAAATGTATATTTATTTGCAACAATCATATTATTGTAAAATTGTTAATGTAGGAAAAGCTAATGGACAGATGGACGCTATACTGCGTTGTCATGGTAACATTCCAAGTGAAGATAATGAGGAAAGTACATTGTGTTTGTCTTCATCAAGTCAAAACAGCTTCATTGCGACAAAAGCCTTAATGCCCTTAAAGTCTCCATTTCAAGGACTTTCAGAGTAAGAAGGGCATAAGGACGCTCACCTCACCAAAACTGTGAACTCAATGTCTTGATTTAAACTGTTACTGACCTCAATACCTCCAGTTTACAGTGTGAATCCTTCAGTACGTCACATAAGTGATTCACTCCTGAGTCTCCTAGTTTATTCCCACTCAGGTCCAGATGTCTCAGGTGTGACGGGTTTGATTTCAGAGCTGAAGTCAGGATGAGACTCTGTTCCTCTGTAATACTGCAACTCCACAGACTGAAGACAGAAAGAGAAAAGACTGAAATGCTTCATCAGGCACTTAGTTTATTCCCCATACTCTGTTTTTAAGGCTGTCACACTAGTTCTGTGTGCTGGAAGATGTTGACGTTAACGAGTCTTCTATTTTAATTGGAATTTTTGGAATTTTATTTTATTTTATTTGGTAATACTTTACAGATCCTATTAGTTAACATCAACTAACAAGTAGTTTTTGAAGTAAAACAAGAAAGATTAGTGCAGATATTTAATAAGTATTGATCTGCAAATAAGCTATTTTTTATTACAGTACCAAACCTTATTATACACTACTTAAAGCTATGGTATACGATTTCAAAGATTGTTCATTATTAATATCCTCGTTTAGATGCTGGTTATGGTTATATAGTACAATCCTAACAATATGAATAGAAAACAGAATGAAAAAAATCCATTCACTCTATTGGCTGTACAGCCACAGAGAAGTCGACCAATGTAAGCTGTCCGGCCGGACATTGGTCAACTGCTCTCATCCAATCACCAGCTCCACTTGAAACTCCGCCTGGCGCTCCAACCCAACCGCACCCGACCCCGCCCCCCTCCGTGCGCGAGCAAGCAGCTGACAGACAGTCTATGGTAGCTAGCTAAGTAGCATCAGATCAGCAATGGATAAATAAATGAATGACAGCAGTAAGCGGCTCCTGCTGGCCCCTACAGTAAAGTTTGGACGAAAGAGAAAGTCAGTGGAGGAAAGAGCAGAGATTAAAAAAAAAATGTATCACCAGACTCTAAGTAGGATAAATATTAGGGATGCAACGGTACACGGTAAAATCCCGGACCGTTCGGTCAGCCCTGCACGGGACAATCTACCCTCGTGTCCCGCGGGACTTCGGTTTTGCCATAGAGTTCGTGCTGGTCCTTTTCCCGTATTTTCCGCACTATAAGGTCCACTTAAAAGCCTTTAATCTTCTCAAAAAACGACAGTGTGCCTTATAATCCGGAGCACCTTATATATGGACCAATTAGTTAACAACGCTCTGCGTTATTAAATTCGCCCGCGAACTCGCGCTCGTGTCCAGCATATGCCCGCTTTGTCACACGGCCAGTTCAACCTCGTATAAATCAGGTTATGTGTGTGTCTCCCGCTCACGAACGCTCACTCTTAACAGACACACGAACAGACAACATCTTTCATTTTTCAACAATATCTTTTGTCAGTTTTCTTTACTCTTTATCACAGCAGCAGATTCTGCAGAACGACATCTACACAATCAGTACATTGTATCAAATTATTCAACTTTAATGCAATAGACCTTAGTCAGATTATAAAACAAATGTACTGAATAAATAAATAATAATATTGACGCAGATGCTTTTCTGTCTCATTATTTCTTATTTTTAAATTGGACGCAGAGGTTGCACTGTTTCTTCTGGACAGGTGAGTCGCTTCTAGTGCTGACTTTTTTGTATGTGAACTGTGTGTGAAAATATAATTCTTTAAAAATATAAGTGAAGCTCGACTAAACTTAGATAGCTCCATCGAATATCAGATTGTAGGGATTTAGTGTGTGTGTTTTTCATGATGCAGGGAAATGGGAGGGAGGGGCGAGCTAACTTGGTTTGTTTGGGATCTCGCTTCAAACACAAACAGAAGTGACGTCACCCACAATTGCTGATACAACCTTTAAGGGTGCGGATACACTTGTCCACGCAATACTTATGTCGCGCCGCGCTCCGCTTTATTCCTATGGGTGACGGCACGCGACTTTAACGTGCCTGCAAAGCATCCTAGGAAGGCGGAGCTTCATTTGTAAAAATGCTACACGTGAAAAAGCTGGCCGAAGCCGATCTTAATTCAAATGAATTTCTTGAACGCAAAGCGACTATCCAATCGAAGTAGAGCATATGGAGACGGGCGTAATTAGTCTCTCACAGGTCCTCTGTTCTAGACTGGCCGCTGGCTCAAAACCACGGCGATAGCGGTAAACTTGAGGAACGCCCATCTAAGTACAAATGTCACGACACCACGCGACTGTTGTGTCGTGTACAAAATCCCCGCCGCACGCTTAAGTAAGTGAAAAAAGTTGTTTTTTAGTGTCATTGTATTTAGGTTCTTAGATGGAGTATCAGAGTCTGAGAGTGTCAGAGTGTGATTCAGTTTACGTGGCTGTGGTTACAAGAGGTAAAAACAATATAAATACTGTACTTACATTTACGAGTCATTAAATCATGTTTAATTTGGACTTCTCTGGGCATACTCTTTGAGGTGGTGACCATAGACCTGCATTACAGTCATGGTCAGAATTGATGGCACACCTGCTAAATATGATCAAAACTGGCTGCAAAAATCCTTATCCTTTTGATCCTTCATTAAAAAAAAAAATTAGCAAAATTCTAACCTTTTATTGAAGTAAAAGAATTGAAAGTGGGGAGCAAATCACATTATGAAATAAATATTTTTCTCCAAAACGCGTTGGCCACAATTGTGTTCATGCTACGAACAACCGCATAAGTCCAAAAAAACTAAAATTGAGATAACCATGTGACTTGAATGTGTGTGCATCACTTTGTATACAGAATCACTTTGGGGGTGTGTTCGTGCGACCAAAACTCTGTATTTTAAACGTTAAAGGGGACATATCATGCAAAATCCACTTTTTTAGCCCTTAAATGCATTTTGTTGTATATTTGGAGTGTTTATAAGTACAGAAAAGATAAAATTATTCTCTTCAGGTGCTTCGTTTATATCTTTATATTCTGTTTTGGTCATATTTTCAACCTGTTCAGATTTTTCTGTTCTCTATGATGTTTTTTGAACTATCACGTCACCGTATTTGCAGCGGAACTGCCAAATAAGGACATTGACTACCGGCCCAACACTTCGAGCAATCCGCCATTATTATTTCTCGCTCCGATTTTGTAGTCCGAGCTCAATGATGCAGAAGTTACGAGAGGGCAAGTCAAAATGTTCGGTTGTTGGATGTAGTGACCTGAAGCACTTCAACAACCTCCGCCAGTATACAAAAGGGTTTGCCGATCGACTTCGTCTGAATGAGGCTGCTGTGTTTTCTGATGCTTTTCTACACGTAAGTTATTATATTTTATATCATGGTCTGGGTGAATACTCGATTCTGATTGGCTGCAGGGTGTCCGTTAAAAAGTGATAGAGGACACCTAGTAAAGTAGTTCTGGTGAAACTGTCTGTTATACTGAAACTGTTATAAATGAATGCGCTGCCTACAACAGCTGTGAGTAACCATAGCAACAGGCAGTCAAACGCTCTATTAAAACAAACAGCCTAATACAACAATGAGCGACTTCGTTATTTCTTATGGAGAATATGGCAACGTTGACGACTGGGATGCTGTAGGTCGACTCTCCGATGCTGGACTGGAGAGCCGTCAAATAATGTCGGTGACAGGCCATCGATGCGAGAGCAGTCTGCGGGCTTACTGGGCTCTGTCCGTGAGAGACGAAGCTGGAGCAACGTACTGTCTGCATCAAGTGCCCATTATGGGCAGCAGTAACGTTACCCAGCTTTTGTGAATCCTCCTGACTGGCCGACTTTTTCAAATTTCACTATAAATAGAAACGTTGAAATTAATTGTAAATAAAAAAGCTAGCATGTAGACAAATGACCCTCTCTTTGATCTGATTAATTTATTGCCCTCTATAAGCGCAAATCGCTGGTGCTCAGAACTAATTGTTTTTTTTTTGTGTGTGTGTGTTTTTTTGATTGTTGTTTGATTAATTGTTTTATGTGTAATAAAAAATAACTATGCCTACCTGTGTTTCATGAAAAAAAAAATGCATTTTTGAACCTGAAGGGTTCTGCAAGCTGAGCGGACTATAAATATCTCCGGTTGCTAAATAAACCGTCAGGCAAGTTATTATTTGTAAAAAATAGATTTAGCCTAATTAAAATATAAACTAATGTTTTAAAAATGTTTTATTTGACAAGTAAAACCTGACAATGGACACCTCGTCAGGGATTAACCCTTACATTATTAATACAGATTTTTAGTGGTAAGATTGGACCGTAGTCATTTATCTTGTCAGTGTGCTTGTTTTAACAAGAGAAATAGTCGAATTTCACTAATAACACAACATAGTTAACTTAATGTTACATACCCCTGCATCCATAATTATGAAGAGGTTGTTCTGCAGGTTCGTCGTCGTCTTTTTCAAATCGCTCGCTCTGGCTCGAATATGTAAGGCTTGATGGACAAGTCTTCCGTTGTTGACATTTTGTTAACGAGTGACTAAAAATGTTCTTTGAAGCTATAGTATATAATCGTATATCTCTTATCAAACTACAATAATGGCCGAACGCGGGGAGTTGAACCGAGTGTGAACAACTGAACAACAACAACCTGCAGAGCGGGAAAGACGCAACTCCATTTTATTTAAAGGGGCCACTTTGAAACGGGTCGCTCACAGACGCACATCAGAAAAGGGGTAGAAAAGGGGCCTGTGGAGCTATAATAATGAAGAATTCAGACCCAAGCATTGCAGTTATGCTTTATATAGACCACAAATGTATGATTTATAAGTAAAAATGAATGATTTAAAAGCATGATATGTACCCTTTAAAGGGCACCTATTATGGAAAATTCACTTTTACATGGTGTTTGAAAATGAATGTGTGTTGGCAGTGTGTGAGCAAAACCTAGAATGATAAAAATCCACCTAGTGTTTTTTTTTTTTACAATCTTAAATCATATGCGAACTGTTCTGAGATTCAGCTCTTTGTGACGTAGAAAGTGAGAAAGGGAAAGATTGACAGTGTGGTTGTGGCCTAGACCCCGCCCTCGGTGATCTGCACACCATCCTCCATTGTTTCAACGACAGCCGGTAATATCTCCTAGAATCATAAGTGTTATGCTGTGGGATGGGATGCAATAATGACATACATAGTAGTTTTCACTTATTTCATCATCAGAGCCACTGAAAACACAGTAGATGTATTGTTTTCTGGAAGTTTAAGTGGCGCCTTTCCTTCGTAAATAAGTTTATGTTTGAGCGAATAATTTTCTGACTGACTGTTTTGTGAACGAGGGTCAATTGAAAGCAGGTCTTGCTTCAAAGTTAATCCTCAAGTGTGGATCGTCATCTACTGTTTGCGATCCACCGTCACCTCCAGTAACAGTAAGTGTATTTTATGATTTTTGAGCAAATAGTCTTTTCAGTCTGTCAGCCAATTCAACAACAAATGCGTCTAAAGTTATTGTCGTCGTAGGATGTCTGTGTATATAATTTAAACCTTGTTTCTATAGTGTGTAACCACACGTTTATAAATATATATTTTTAAAGATATTGTATTAAAAACTGCATATATGTTCTTGTTCTGTAAGTTAGTCATCTTCTCACATTTGCCACAGAAGCACCTGTATGACCATTAAACATGACGCAACAGGTCCCTGCATAAATGTAATTTCGCTTGTACGTAGCAAACTTTATCAAAGTATGGGCCCTATCTTGCACCCGGCGCAAATGACTTTATACACAAACGCATGTCTCATTCCTATTTTGCACGCGCGCAAAGCGGGATTTTCCCCTCCACAGACGCACGTCAGTAAACTAGGAAATAAACTTGCGCTCCCTGGGCAGATCGGCGCAAAAAAGAGGCGTGTTTCGGCTGTGAACGCTCCTGGCGCGCGCCTGGTAAACCCGCCGTTATAATAACAATCCGTCATGCAACATGCGCACCTGCTCTTAAAGGGTATGTTGGATGGCGCTCTGATTGGTTACGCCTAAACCACACCTATGAATAATGAAGCTACTTCAGACCAACCCCTTTTAGATTTGCGCCAGGCGCAAGAGGCATTTATCCCGACGGGAAAATATCAACAGCGCCCAAGACCCGCCCACAAAGTTACTTGCGCTTTGACACTTGCGTTTCAGATCATTAAAATAGGGCCCATTGTGTGTAGGGTCTACATGCAATTTATTTTAAATTGGCTATTTTATTATTTCAATATCCAAATTTGACACTAAATCCCACAGGGAAAAGGGCTTCTATTTGTAACATGCAGTCTTTGCATTTGAACATTGCACATTTTAAACAGGACACGCATTAGCTGGATAAACGTTAGCCGATACAAACATACTTATAGAAAATAGTTAATAATAATAGCAAATAATAGCAAAACGCATCACTTATTCTAAAAAGAGTATGAAGTATAAGTTAGACGAATCTGACATATAGGGCTGTCTTAATAGTAAAACGTCCGTCATTAAACAAATTTTAAAAACACGGATGTATATTAAGAAATGCTTTCTGACATTTTGACAGGAAAAAAAAACAACCAAGAACAAAATTTAAACTTAGAAGATCATTGTAAAATGAAAATTGATGGGCTCTCTCTGTATGCACGGTCTGTGTTTGTGTGAGAGAGCTCTCACAGCACTGATACAACAGTACTTTTTAATCCATAAGTAAATAACGCGCTAGTTTTTATACAAAATTATTATGTAACATGATTAGGACCTTAGTTATTATTAACACAATAACGTAAGACATGCAGGCTGTGTTTCTCAACACTGAGAATGAATTAAGAAATGCCAGTTTCTCCAGACTCGCGTTTATCAGTAATCCACAAATCACAGCACTTTCATAATCACTAAACAGTTGGCCTTATGCACAGCTGCACTACTTCCTGAACTTCAGCCAGCTCCTTGTTTCCTGTCTGCCATTATTGGCCGAACTTGATTAGTTCAGGTGTGCCTGACCTTAGTAGTCATGGCAACAATAATCAGACACACCTGAGTTAATCAAGTTTGGCCAATAATAGCAGACAGGAAACAAGGAGCTGGCTGAAGTTCAGGAAGTAGTGCAGCTGTGCATAAGGCCAATAGCGGTTTTAATTTTATTTCGATTTATTGTTTATCAATACTTAAGCTTTTAATAATTTGCATGGCTGAATAATGTCTTCCTCTTATCTGAGTGACCATGATCGACGGAGTATTTTAAAATAATCCATGCGATCACTCCCGTGTGATCATCGAATCCAGATTAAGTTAATCAATACAATATTTCAACTTTCCACATCCACTCAGTCCGTTTCCCTTCAGGAGTCAGAACAGAAGTACCGTAACTACTGTAAAGTTACTGTCCTCACTAATGAAATTGGAAGGGGGATCTAGCGGGATTCTTTATGTCTGTCAATTTTCAGTCTCTTTTTAATGAAAGGGCTTACGCATCTGTCAATCATTCTCGCTTGCTATTTGGGGAATGAACACAGCCCTATGATTGGACGAACTCTGCTTCTTTTGCTGTTGCTTGATTTAAGGACTGCGCATGGACAGAGGCGTCACCAGGTTATTGCGTAGTTTAATCAATCGTACCAGCGTACTTTGAGGTCAAAATGTGTACAGATTGGCAGGTCTGCTGTTATAGATAATGTTTGACTTTCTCCATTGTGTTTTAAAGCGGTGAATTCGCAATTGAATTCAGATGGGTTGCACATTTTATCCCCAGTGTCACGATAGGAACAGGCCGAGCATATCTTATGACACTGGTATAACGCGCTGGTGAACGCTCGTAGAGTAGTGGTGATTCGTGAGCGGCACTCATGCACAGTCAAATAAACCGTTTGATTCATACAGGAACTTTGTGCCCATAAAAGCTCTGAACGTGTGATTTATATAAATAATTAATGGCCTTATTCTATGTTTACACTAACCATGGTAGGCTATAAATGCATGTTTTGGTTATTGGGGGACTATGCCCCATGTCATGTCTGATAGAAGTTTATCATTTTAAAATTACTTATCAATTTTAAAACACCTATTAACTGATAAAAAAATAAACAACTGTAACATTTCTATTAAAAATCCTATTTTTAACCATGTAAAATACTCACTTCAGTGCGTTGAGTTTACAGTGTTTATCCTGCAGTAGAGCAGCGATCTGATTCACTCTTGTGTCTCCTAGTTCACGTTCATTCAGATTCAGCTCTCTCGTGAGTAATGGGTTTTTACCCACAATTCCAGTCACATACTGACAGGCTTCATCTGCAGCAGGACTCAAAAACCTGCAGAAGAGAAGATCAAGCAGGATTCAGTTCAATTCTCAACTACACTTGGTGTAATGACAAAATCCATTTTACATGATTTTTGTCTTGAAATCACTCAATCAACTTTGATGTAACAACATATTATGTAGCTTATTGTATTATTGAAATAACATTTCTATAAATAATTCGGCTATATGTAATGTATTTTTTAATACATTAAAAATCTATTAAATAATAGTATTTCCTCATGTCTCACCTCAGTGTCTTCAGTTGAGAGTTTGGATCCTGCAGTAAATCATTGAGCTCCTTCACTCCTGATTCTCCAGGATCATTTCCTCTGAGATCCAGCTCTATCAGGTGTGAAGGGTTTGATCGCAGAGCTGAAGCCAGAGCTTTATAACCTTCTTCAGTGATACTGCAGTCTGAAAGTCTAGAAAAAAAGACAATGTTATATTTAGATAAATAATCTGTTATTTTAGAAAGTACCTGAACAAATTTAATTAAATAAACTGAATTATATTTTGTTCCTTGTACAACAAAATTATAGTCAGTTGAAAAACAAAAAGAGACAAATGGAAATGCAGTCAAACAAAAGGCCCCAAAGAAGCAATATCAACGCTTATCGCTAACACATTGATTTTTGGATATTTTTTTTTACTAAACCTATTTAAAATCGTATTTGATTGCGTGCTGTAGCGCTGTCACAGAACGCTTAACGACGCCTCCTCCTGGTTTCACCAGATCCCTCTCTCCTGCATATTAGGACTTCATTCCCTGCTCATTATCCCCTGATTAATTGCCCATTATCTCATCAGTCCCACCTGTGTGCCCTTCAGCTTCCCTTTATCTGGACTGCTATGTTCATTGTTCATTTGTGAAGTCTTGTTTCACCGTTACTCTGTCTCAAGCTCGTTTTCTCGTATTTGCTCTGGTATTTTTGACTTGGACTGTGTTACTCGCTTTTACTCTCTCACCTTTTAGTGCTTAATCCTGTTTTGTACTCACAGAGTGTACAGAATGACAACCACATTCAACAACTTAATTAACTCCCTAAAAATGCAGGTAGTGACAACCGCAAAATGCTATGCAGTGTGTATAGAACAGAACTGAACAGCTAGTAACAACAAAACCAACCATCAACAAACTACTTGTCTGGCCTTAAAATTTATAATACAGAATTATAAATTAACTTTCATCAATTATTCCATGAAATAAAAAGGGCAATAAAAATCTGTCTCAAAACTGCATGCATGCATGTATTTGTTATACATGCATCACATATGTCTCGACTAAAATATTCGACCATGTGAGATCACAATTTAAGGCACAAACTGATAGGCTATGTAATTTTTAATGTACAAATAAATGTGAGCACTGTGCATTTGTACTAGAAGATAGGCGGTAATTTTGGATTAATTTGTAAATGACAAACAAAAATTGATCATTTTTAAATCCATAAAATAACGAATTTTACATTCTGGCATTTATGTGCCGTTGACTTCCTCCTTGTTCACATTGTTGCACATAGGAATTCAAAAGAGATGTTTTCCCCCCCTTTTTAAATTAGCTATGATAGAACAGTTTAGATTATTTATTTTGACAACTAATATAGAAAGTTGAAGATTTCATTGATTATATAAAATTCAATGAAGGTTGAGTAATCTTTGAACTACAGTAGTTATCTGCAATGTCTCATCCATGAAGGTGCAACAATGTTGGGGGTTTTGAGAACGAGAACCAAGCTAACTGAGCAAGTTGAACTTTAGCTATAGTGTGTTCCCCTTTATTAATATGCCTGGAGTAATAATAATAATAAAAAAGATCAAATTCACTCTGTCAAGTGTACTTCAAACATCATGGCTTCCCACACTTGACAAGAGAAGGAATCAACCAGACTCAGGATTTCACTAGTTCTTCAATTTATTTGACCAGTAACATGGAAGGTGAAAAACCTTTAAACATACAAAAAATAACAAATTAAATAAAGTTCAATATTTCCCATCAAATACAATAAAGCACATCAAAATACAACAAGCAAAGGATAAGCTGGATTAACACATCAATTAACCATTTCTTTAGGTTTATCACCCCAGGTAAACAGTGTAAATCAGCCATTACATTTCCAGAAAGCCAGCTCTACTCATTATACTACTCATTTCTTTTTAAATGAACCTTTACCCCAGATCATTCCATACAGAAGTTATATATGACATTCCATAATTACAAACCTACAAGGAAAACATTTCAAATGATATTACAGTAGTTTAGCACAAGGTTTGCTCTGTACAGGAATGTTTAAACAGCTTTGTACAAAAAATGTAGCCTCAAACTATTAATAGTGCAACTAACAATGCACTTAACAGACCACACAGCGTACCCATCCAGACAACTACATACCCAGAGATCTCATTTGCAGTCCTCAGAAACCAGTAAAGAGATGTGAGCTTGCCGGTAGCCCCTTTGATCTTTTCCTTTTCCCATGAGTTTTATCCGTGATTCTTTAGCTTATTATTCTTTCTTCCACTACTCTTAGCTGCATTGCAAAGCTGAACAAACACATCTCTGCTTTCATTGTCTGAAGCGTTCTCACGTCTCTGCTAATTAGTCTAATTTCGTGCACCTGTTGAGGCGCGCAGCAGAGCTGCACACTCGCTGTCACCTGCATGAAACAAGGCCGCTCCACTCACACGCAGACACACCTCCCAGCAGATCGCCACAACACCTCCCACTCGATCTTTGCGCAGAGTAAGCAGAAAGATCGCACCACTCAGGCGAACTGGTCCCCAACGAATTGATCCTCTGCTGGAACGAGGACGATGAGGCCGTACATCCCGATGCAATATGGTACCCTGGAAATCCTTTTCTTTAGACCCGGACACTTTGGCAAGTCCGAGACTTGGAATCTTCGCCTGAACACACCCGCTCGGAGAGACTTTCACGTGGACATCCCGGACTATGCCTTTGGAATCTGCGTTCACACTGATGACTCTTGCTAGCTTGAACTGCCCCCTTAGTGCATTTTGATCACAAAGCCAAACTATGTCTCCCTTGGCAACGTTCCTTTCGGCAGTATGCCACTTGCTGCGGATGAACAGGTTTGGACCTGCAAGCTGGCTCCAGGACTTCCAAAAGCAGCTAACTTGGGTTTGCATCTCTTGCCGCCTTTTGAAGGGGTAAGTAGCGTAATCGAATTCTTTGAAATCTCCGCTCTGTGAAGCTCGACCAAGCAACAGGGTGTTCGGAGTGATGTATTGGATGCGGTCTTCACGGCTCTGGACTCTGGCATCGATAGGCCTTTCGTTGGCGAGGTTGGCAGCTAGTTTGAGCACCGTCAGGAATTCGCCAAAAATAAGGCCTCTTCCTTTGGAGAAACTTTGGAGACCTCTTTTGGTGATCTTGACCGCAGCTTCAGCAGCGCTGTTTCGATGAGGTGAGTTGGCTGGAAGGATTTTCCATGACCAATAAGTCCCATTCTTAGCAGCATATTCCTCAAGCGACTCTTTGCTTTGTTGTCTTAGGTAAGCATACATCTCTTCCAAGACACGCATTGCTCCAATAAAATTTGTACCTGGATCGGACCAGATCTTCAAAGGATGACCTCGGATAGAAGTAAACCTTTGGTAAGCAAGTAGAAAGCTCTCTGTTGTTAGCGCGCTTGCCAGTTCGACATGGATGGCTCGGCTCGACATGCAGCAAAAGAGCACACCCCATACTTTCAAACTCACTCTCTTTCTGACATCATCCTTTACTTCATACGGTCCGAACATGTCAACAGACGTGAATTGAAACGGTGCAGCCGGGCTCGACCTCTCTTCAGGTAAATCTCCCATTATTTGCTGACATGCCTTTGCTTTTGCCTTCCTGCAAAAGATACACCTGTCAACAACTTTTCTGGCTATAATTCTCCCCCTGATGACCCATGCTTTCTTTTGCATCCGCAGCAAAGTTCCTGCCACCCCATCATGTCCTTCACTATGTGCTTCTCGGGCTAGGAGGGTAGAGATCCAGGACTAGAAAGGTAGAAGAGGAACTGCTCTCTGGTCCTCTTTGAAGGTCTGAATCCTACCACCACACATCAAGAGACCACTTATCCGATCTTTGTAAACAACCAGTCTGTCCGTTGTTGTGTTCGGAAAGTATGCACCCTCTTGCGCTACCAGGCATAAGTTCCGGAACACTTCTTCTCTTTCACTAATCGTGATGACACCAGATGACTGAACTGCCTCCCACTTTTCTTTATCTCCCATCTTAGCAGCACACAGAAACTTCTTAGCTGCTCTCCAAGTCCATGCTATCACCCCAGTCAACCGTCTTAGGCAACTGAAGCGCCTTTCATCCACTAGCTTTTGGACCACTGTTATTACTGGTGTTCTTCTGGACTTGGATTCTGTCCCCTGGACTTTGATTGGATCTTGCGCTTCCTGCTGGCTTCGGGTGAGTACCGCAACAAATGTTTTCTTCAGCATTTTTGCGATGTTATCTCTTGCTTGTACAGAAATGTCCTTGGCTGATTTTTTCGGCCACTCACTCTCGGGAAGCTGAAGGAACTGTACTGCCACTCGAATCCCTCAGTTAAATTATCAGGACTGGCCCCTCTAGTGATGATATCTGCAATGTTTGCCGACCCCGGAATCCACAACCAATCTCGGGTGTCAGTACTCTCGCCAACTCGGTTCGCAAAGAAGGTCTGGCAGCCATAACTTTCTCGCTGTATTGTGCCCAAGATGGCCTGATGGTACCACCTTTTGACATCGATTCGGCAGTGTATCTGAAAGTAGTTTTTCAGCCGGGCTGCAAAGACTGCTCCACACAATTCCGCCTTCACCGGGTCACCCTTGTGATCCAGAGGAGTCAGCTTAGCCTTAGATTCCACCAGTCTCACAACGATCCCATGGCTGCAACTCCAACGAAGGTACAGCACGGCGCCATACGCATGCTCACTACCGTCAGAGAAAGTGATGCCACATGGTCGTCCACCTGGATCTGGCGGCGTAAGGGCCCTGGTGAATCTCAGTAGCCTCAGGTCAGCATACTCTTCGAGGAGCTTCACTGCATCTTCTCTGAGTTCTTTGGACAAGGCGGCATCCCAGGTGTCTTCTATACAGTGCATCACTTTCGCTTCCTGAAAAGCTCTACGAATCAGAATGGCTCCCTTCTGCTTTGCTGGAGCCACAAGGCCGAGGGGATCATAAAGACCAGAGACTTGGCTTAACAGCTCTCTTCTGGTGAGTGGGTCTGGTGTTTGGCTTCTTACTTCTTCCCTCGGTAAGTCCTGGCCAAGGCGAACTTTTCTCCTTTTCTTAGAGAAGTTCACTGCAACCATGACGTGTAACTTGTCACACGTGCATTAATGTAATATTATCGCAAAGTATGCAATTTTACATTTTAGTGGTATATAATCCTCCCTCTGCATGCACCACAAAGCTCTGT